CTGTTTACTAATTTGAGATCCGCCTTTCTTCGTGTACCTTTAGTGGAATGTTAATATACTCTCCTGGCCATGGCTAATAATTATTTTGCAAATTGTGTGATAGTGAAAGTGTCAGTTTTCCTGGTTTTAGCTCACCCTGACAAACATTTAAAGCATGCTTCTATCACTCAGTCCTGGTTGTGAGGATTTATAAATGTTGTAGCTAGCAGTTGGTCTACGTTATTACAATTTATGGAAAAAAGACTGTGTGCGTAGTTTATGTATCACAAGCTTTGTTTGTGGTTGTTGAATGGTGTAGCAGAAAAATTGTGACCCACAGTTTCAAAGAGAAAATACCTATCGAACTTCAGGATGTTTTAAATAAAATGGTTTTGCTGAGTTGCTGAGTGTGTTATCACAGTTTGAGGAATGCTAGTGTTTATTTTGTAGCCAAATAAATTATACATTTATGCACAGCTAAGGAGAATAGCTCCAGCAAGCCATCTGCAGCCAGGCTGCTGCTGAGAGTAGCTGGGCTGCCTCTGTGGGGTTGCATGGAAAGACAGTAACAGAAAGCACGCGCTGCTCTCAGATACCTCAGATGCACTTTATAGTATCCGGTGCTCAGACCTTTTACCTGGTCATGTCTTTCTATGCTGTTCAAAATAATATAAGGCTTTCAGTAATTATTTTAAGTTAACTTGATGACAAATACAAAATATATTGAATAATTCATTATTAAAATGATACTCAAAGGTTACTAGGTATCCAACAGTGGTAATAATCATAAGTAATCAGTCCTTTTAAAGTCTAAAGATGAAGCCAGTGTAATTCCAGCACTTAAGAGGCTGAGGCAGGAGGATTGTTGCAAGTTTGAGACCAGTCTGAGCTGCAAAGTGATCTCAAGGCCAGCCTGAACTGCATAGGGAGACCCCGTCTCAAAAATAAATAAATAAGTGAAATAAAATAAAATGAAGACCAAAGATGAGAGAAGAAATATTGGAAAATACTTTAAAGCACTGTGTATTTGAATCTAAAGGCTATTTTTCAGACTAGAAAAGTGGTAGACTTAGGTGAGTAGGAGCTGAGACACTGGAGCGAGAGTCCTACCACAGCTACGGGAAGAGCACAGGACCATCTGGGTGTCCTGGCTCAGGGACACAGTTGAGTCGGGGGGTCGCAAGTGAGGACCCACAGGTTTAGTACGAGGCCAGGCTGCAGGAATGATGGCAGAGAAGGTGTACAGCGGCCAGGGTGAGCCCCAGCAAGGGTAGACCCCGGCCTTGTTCTGTTGGTGTTTGTGGTTCCGAGAAGGGCTGCCACACCGGTGATCAGAGGTTCTGTTATAAAGCGTACCACACTGTGTATTTGTTGGAGGTTTGCTTGTTTCCCTTTTGTTGCTGCTGCTGTTTTGAGAAGTTTTCATTCTGTTTTGAAGCTAAACAATTTAGTAGTAGTTCTGAGCCAGAATAAGTTTTAGTTTGGAGCCTTCAAAATTTACTGGTTCACTTCCCTTCTTAGATGTATAAATTTCATTATCTTGAATTATTATTGGAGAAACACTTTAATGGATAGTTTTGACATATTTATGAAAGTATCACCATTAATTGAAATTCTTTATATGATTTACACAATTAAACCTGTATGTAAGTAGTACCTCTTGAGAGATATCAGTAAGACATTTATGATTATCCAGCAAAAGTCTTAGCTAGTGAAAATGCATTATTACATTTCCCAGGTCTGGGAATAACAAAGGTTGAATAAAATGAAATCCCAAGGATCCAGTGAATCAGGGAGCTGTGCTACAGTAATCTGTGGAGACTCAGCTTGGAATATGTGGTGATGGGAGGATGAGTTGCACTACTTTCTAACCTCCCTTACCTCATTTGTGTAGCTCATTAAGTCAGAAGAGTCAATGAATGAGCACTTGGATACCTTCACATAGTGAACCGAGTCATAGTAGCCCATTAATGCTTGCATCTGACAGCAGGAGTCCTACCACTGACAGACACAGTTATGGGTTGTCCTGGTTCCATTTGTTTCATTTATGCCGTTGTGTTGCCATGGATGCAGGTGAGATGTGCAGTGTCAGGGTGAGCTGCTGCCTGTTACGGGGGACCTTGGGGCTGTGTATGAGATCTCAGGAAGCTGTCTTCTCAGCATCAGTTTTGGCCTTGGGTGATACCTGACTTCTGTAGAGTAGGAAGAAGGGATAGAGGCCACACTCCTCACAGTGCATCATTCAGGGCTGTGGTGGAATGAAGACCCAATCTGTCATGCCTAACAAGGGGACCAGCTCTATTGGAGACCTAGGCACAGTGTATAATTGGCTGTGGGGATGGGGGCAGTAAAGGTAGCTCCCTTCTCAGAACAGGAAGTGAGCTTTCAGCTTTGCAGGAAAGCAAATCAGAATTCATGTCCAGGTGAGGATGATCTTCCCTGTGAGCGGACGCTGTGATGAGGGAAGCCTCTTGTCGTTGCAGGGCAGTGCAGTTGTCAGTGGCCAGAGGCTCAGAGCAGCGCTGTGGGGAGAATGCCCCCTGCATAGCTGGGAAACAGTGGGGCTGGCAGTTAGCAGAGGGGCGGGTGCTTGAAGAGCAGGCACCCATTCCCAAGGAACTTACTTAATTCAGACCATTTCAGAAATCTTTGTGTCTGTGATGCCTAAAACATCAGTTAGACTTCATGAGTCAGAAGAGACCACTGTGAGCAAGGCCTTCCCTTGACTGCTTTGTCACTAGCGGACAGATGTGGAAGTAGCAGAATCACAGAGCGCCCGCGTAAGAGCACCACCTGTAAAAAGCAGCTGCATTTCAGAGACTGTGCACAGGCCTTGAGGGTCAGGGGAGGGTCTTAGTGTCAACCCTAGTGGGTCTGTAAAGTGGAGATGATACAGTCCCAGTGAGGGAAAGTGGCTTTGGAAATGCAGGACAGTTACTGGAACTGCCTTCCTCTAGCAACGTGGCCCCACCTTGGTAATAACTGGAATGTGGACAGTGTGGCCACAGGCTCTTCACGTGGGGCCGCACAGCAGTACCCTTGCTGCTGCTGCTGTCCCTGTGTGCACTACAAGAGCCCACTGGCAGGACCACACGGAGAGGGGCTTTCAGAGTGCAGTGTGCAGGTGGCTGAGGGCTTTGCCTTTTGATCTGTGTGTGGAAAGACCTCTCTTTCTTTCCCTCTCTCTCTCCTTCCCTCTCCCTCTCCCTCTCTCTCTCTCCCTCACCTTGTTTCTGTCTCTTCCTCTCCCTCTGTCTCGTTCTCCCTCTCCCCTTCTCTCCTCCCTCTCTCCCTCTCTCTCTCTCCTTTCTTACCTCCCTCCCTTCCTCCGTTCTCTCCCTCCCTCTGTCTCTCTGCTGGTCTGTTAGGGGGTTGGTAGTGCTGCCGTTTTCAGTGTAAGTCTGTTCAGTGCTGAGATAAAAATTATTTCTACAGTCAACAGATTTGGCTAGTAGAATTAAAAGGAAGCTCTTTCTAAAACTCATAAGAGGATAAAATGCTTTTCATATTGTGACAGCAGTAGACAATGATTTCCGTCTGTATTCTAGCAATAAGGGAGAGCAGGGAGGGATCTGGCATCTTTTTGGTATTGCTCGTCAAAGTTTAAAACTTGTGGTCACTGAAAGGAGAGATCACAGGACAAGTCAAGTCCCTTCGTGGAAAGGGATATTAAGAGGAAGGCAGTATTCTCAGTGAATCTGCATTCCACCTCCCATTTTCCCAGGTCTTCTTTCTCTGTTTCTGTGGAGGTGGATTTAGATACATAGATAAATGACAGCCAATCATCTTAGTTTGAAGTGAGGCAGCATGGACTGTGTTTCCAGTGTCCGTGTGCATCTAGCAGTAGATGTGCTGTGACGGTGTGTGAGTTAGGCCCGATGGCTGCCTGCGTGTCATGCGCCATTGTCCACCCTGCAGTGGGGCCCAGGCCCTCTCCTAAGCCAGATGAACCCAGAGATGACTTCACAGGAAAAAAGGCCACTAGCATGCAGGATGGGAAAGAAGGAATTCTCACAAAATCATCAGATACTTACATATTTATAAAAGCTCCTCATTGTGTACTCAAGAATATGACATTCTAGATTGTTTTGGTGGAATTTAAAATATACTCTGATAAAAAATATTGCTTAGAATAGTAAAAATAAAGATAAATGTTAATCATAAGTACTTCTAAAATTATCTCCTAATAATCACTATTAAATACAACATGTTTTCCCAGGACATGCAAAATGAAAAGTTGTATCAACCTCTCTAATTCCTGCCACTCACACACATCACCCAATATGTACATTACTTATGTTAGTCTTTGAAGTATATTCACAACATTTCTAAAGAAACTATATTTTCTGTTAAATCATGCTATTTATCATAATTGGAAGGTATACCATTTTTATTTACTTTTTTGCATAGAATATTTCTAACCTAGCAGAGTTGATGATTTCTGTTTTCACACATTTGAGCGTGTCAGCTTGGGGAGAGAACTGACACTGCTAATTTAAGAAGTTAGCAGTGTTTTCTTAGTCTGACAAGTGTGCTCCTGGTTGTGTAACTAAAAGCTGTGTGTCATCAATAGAGAAGCTACATATCATAACTGATTAATGGAGTCTAATAACTATTATTATTATTATTTGTATCAGGAATTGAACTCAGAACCTTGTGCTGCTGAGCTATATTCCTAGAAGAATCTAATAAATTAAAACTCGTGTTTTAATTGTTCTGCACATGGTTTTCTATTTCTGCGATTAGTCAGAATGTGACAACTAATGTTGGAAGAAACACAAATTCATATGTTGAGTTTTACTTTCTGTTTTCCTGAAAATGCAATGTGCTTTAATCTCTAAGGTTCATCTCTAAGGTTACATTTCATATAATTTATGTTTCAGTATAGATTAATAAAAAGAATGTGTTCTGTGTCTTATGGTTTGAATAGGGAGAAGCAGTCTGAATCGTAGCAGGCTGATTTGCAAAGGCTTTTATGTTTGCAGCTTGATTGTCTTAGTGACTGGTTCTCTCTCTTCTAGGTGAAGGAGTGGCTCTGTTTAAACTGTCAGATGCGAAGAGCTCTAGGGGGTGAGCTGGCTCCCATGCCACCATCACCACAGCCTAAACTCAAGGCCATCCCTGTGGTACCTGCAGCAGCTGTGAGCAGACCCACCCCACAGGCTGCGCAGGGCTCCCCGAAGAAGGACTCTGCAGCCAAGCAGGATGCTGCCAAAGCTCCCGAGTCCAGGAAGCCTCCGCCACTTCTGAAGCAACCCACCCTACATGGTCCACCTCCCTCCCCAGCCAAGGAGGCTCAAGTGGCAGAGCCTGCCTCCAAGCCAGGTGTCCCACCAGAGCAGGCCAAGGCCCCTGCTGCTGACCATAAACCAAAGCAGCCCCTGGCAGGAAGGCCCACTACAGACACCGAGTCTTCTATTCCAGCAGCAGGCAAGCCTGAGCTCTCCAGCCCCCCAGTCCAGCCACAGGCTACAGAGAAGATAGCCCCACCAATGAAGGCAGAGTCTGCCAAGTCCTCCCAAAGTTTCCCTCCAACTGGAGAGAAAGTCACCCCACTAGACTCCAAAGCCATGCCTCGGCCTGCATCAGATTCAAAGATCCTCTCACATCCTGGGCCCAGCTCAGAGAGCAGAGACCAAAAGAAAGTTGATCCTGTTCAAAAGAAGGAGGAACCCAAGAAAGCACAAACCAAAATGAGCCCCAAACCAGATGCCAAGCCAATGCCAAAAGGGTCACCAACGCCACCTGTCCCATGCCCTCCTGCTGGCCAAACTGCCCCCACACCTCTGCAGCCCCCAAAGCCTCAGGAGCAGTCCAGACGTTTCAGTCTCAATCTAGGAAGCATCACTGACACCCCAAAATCCCAGCCCACAACTCCTCAAGACACCATGACTGGGAAGCTCTTTGGGTTTGGAGCATCAATTTTTAGTCAGGCATCAAATTTAATTTCCACAGCTGGCCAGCCTGGATCTCATTCCCAAGATGGGCCAACAGCAGGTAAACAAGCTGCTCCCCCTCTCCAGCCACTTGCTTCTCAGGGGCCCCGCAAACCCACAGGACAGGCACCACCAGCACCTGCGAAGGTTGCCCCTGTGAAAAAGGAATCGAAAGTTCCAGGGGCTGAGAAGGCAGAGGCCAGAGCTGAACCAGCTCCTACAGAGAAAAAACTAGAAGCAGACAAGAAGCCACTGCCTGCCAAAGATAGCAGAGTTCCTCCAGCTGAGCCTCAAAAGGCTGTGCAGCCCCCCATGTTGGAGAAAACCCCCAAGCCCCAACCAGCCTGTCCACTCTGCAAAACTGAACTCAACGTAGGTTCTCAGGGCCCTCCTAACTTCAGCACTTGCACGGAATGCAAGAGTCAAGTGTGCAACCTGTGTGGATTTAACCCTACGCCCCACTTGACTGAGGTAAGCAACAAGCTTACTGCATATTATTATGTTGGTGTATTCTGAGGTATTAGGGGGCCAAATTTTTAAGCAAAAAAATACATTTCTGGGGAAACAAAGATCAATATGGAGATCTCAGAAGTTGTAATTATTTCATGCTTATTTTCTAATTAAGAATTTATGTTATTTGTACCATTATGGGTTAATGTAACGCAAGCAAGAAAATATAATAAATTGATGAATTAAAAGCAACAATGATTTAAAGACCCACAGCTTAGGAGAAGTAATTTGTTTTTTTTTCTGTGGAACTTCAAATAAGAGTTGTATATTCTGTACTCATTTTCTCTAGTCCTTGTAGTTGCTAATATATTCTTAAAAAGAAATTTAATTGGTTGCAGATCCATAAGTGTATGAAATCTATTATATATAACCATTAAAATCGTTGTGCTTTAGAGGTACTTTTGCATAGGAGAAAATAGTGGTTCAAATAGATTATGTGTAGGCCTTCACAGTTCTGATTGAGATATTATCTTGGCATGAGGAGAGTACTTTACTAGCATGTGGAGAGGAAAAAGTGCGTATATGTTGTGTGAGATGGCAGAAGTACTTTCTCCACTGTCTAGATGGCCAAAAAGGAGACTGTGAATCTCTGCCTAACACTGCAGTTCTACAAGAAGGAATTCATAAATAATGCATGTTGACATACTCAGACTACTAAACATTTTGGAAGTTGGGAAACGTGACAGTTAAATGACCACTGCTATCTTATATAAGGGACAATGTTTTAATTAACATTGTTTATTGATTTAAAATGATTGCTTATTGATTTTATACAGATTAAAAATATTTAAGGATTTTTTCACTCCACTGTGATTTTGTAATTAATTGGAATGGAAAAATTGAATAGATTATAGTCTATTCAATTTTTCCATTCCAATTAATTACATATTGTATACATCTTGTATAAAAGGTGATTATTTTTGTAATGTTTGTGCATTAAATACTTTTAAAGAGCAAACCATAGACAATTCTTTATTTTTTTACTTTAGAAACACCTTAGATTGCTCTGCCCTAGTTAACTCCAAACAAAAGCATTGTTACTATAGCAGAGTTTTCTCTAAGATCCACTTTAAAGGTCTATAAATTTTGGTTTCTCTCAGCATTTCATGAGTGGTAATAACTATAATTATTATTTGCAGTGTTTTGGGTTCAATAGAAACATTAAATTTATTTCATATTTTTAGAAGACCAAGTTTTTGATTATTCATTCATGGTAAAGAAGGTTTTGTTATTTTCTCAATATGACTGCATTATTTTAAATATTTAGTAAGTTATACACTTAATAAGGATCCTTATGATATCAGCATAATACAGTTAAATAATTCTAAAATAAGTTGTGCCAGGAAAAACAGAATTTTAATTTATAAATTTTCTGAAAACTAAAAAAAAAAGTGAATGTAGAGCAAGGAAAGATCTATAATTTATAATTGACACATATGCATGTATATATACATATGTACATACATATAGGTGCATATTTTGACCATCATAGTTATTAGAGTTTGTCAATATTTGTAAGAATGAAGTAAGAACCCCTTAGGTAGAGAAGGACAGTGAGTCTTCCAGGAGAATCTTTGATTTTCTCTGTGTTGGTAAATTATTCTTTGGAGCAAGTAACTTGCGAAGGAGATTTCTTGAATGAAGCAGAGGACCAGTGACAACGTGTATAATTTCAAGTTTGAATCTTTTGGAAGTATGAATTGATTCAAGTGTTTGGATGGCTCATCTGATGTGACAGAAGGAACAAGCGCCCTGCACTCAGCTTGACTGTGCTATTCTGTGTGTAGTTTTCAGGAGTGCTAAGTTCTGACTTCAGGCTTCCAGGAAGTGGGGAAAATTCATGAAGTCATTCTATGTTCAAATAGTTCCGATGGTGATTACTGCAAAGGACACTGGAGGAATGACAGAGGGATTGGCTGAAAAGAATGACATGAAGTGTTTGCACATGTGTGTGAGCATACATTCACCTTCATGGTGTGTGAAAATGCCTGTGTGTGCACGGGCACTTTACAAAGATTGCTGGTTAGCCAGCAGATGCTGAACGCCAATCTTAGACTTGTGGGATGATGTCGGTGTTCCTACTAAAGCCTCTTTCCTTTTCGATTGCTGTCTTCTTTCTGTTTTCTTCATTGTTTTTGATAGTTCCCTCGTGACCAGGTTTTCTGCTGCTCACTAGTGTCCTGCATGCGAAGCTTTGGGTAGGACATTCTGAAAGGGCTCAGAAGTGCAAAGAGATGGTGTTCTTCCAGAGAGAGCTTGAGGGTTTCCATCTGTTCTCTAACCTGGCACATTTAAGGTTGCCCTGAACCTCCACTTCGCTTATCCTCATTACTGGGGCAGGACATCCTCCTTTTATGTTTTCTAGTGATGAAAAGAGCTCCTCAGTTTTTCAGGGGTGCCAGCTACAGCCAGCTCCCTGCGGCTCACCATCCACCAACCTACCTGTCTCTAGGGTTGTTTCCTGGCCCTTGGGCACATGCCACACTTTTCTGAGCATTACCCAGGGTTCCAGTAAGGGAGGCAGCCAGCCTTATGCTTAAGCCTCACTGTTTAGCTGCTTGATGGCCACTTTGAAGAAATGGTGCTGTCATCTCTTAGCAAGAGGCAGCTCTTCTAAGCTTTGATTTCTGCTGACTCAAGCAATACCTTGTCTTGGAAGGAGGTTTTAAAAGTGGCAGCAGGGCTTTCTAAAAGAGCTGGTCTTACAGAATCTGGACACAAACTTAGAAAAACAGCCTCAGTTGGCAGTGGATTTACCAAGTGAATTTTAATCATTCTGGTTTAGTTCAAATGCAAAAGGAGCCAAAATTCTCATAGTGGATATTTATTTTATTGTTTTTACCATCCTTTTTCTAAAATAACTTTACTATGAAAACAAGACTTAAAATGAAACATATCTTTATATTTCAGTAAGTGCCAGAGTCATAACTTTGTTTCCTTAGCAAGATTATGCATGGCCTACATGATATGGAAATAGAATATATTTGTCACTAGGAAACGAGTGAGCCATTTGGGCACATTAAGACTCAGTGGTATGACTGAGATCTCTCCAGGTCTTACTCTCTAGCTGGTCCTGCACTCACATTGTTGCTTCACGTGGGAAACACATGTCCTGCCTTTGTGTTATGAGCATTATTTATATTTGAAAAACATACTTAATACTAAAATGCATGTAGGTTCATACACATCTGTACATACACACAGACTCACACAAATTAAAGACTGAAAGAATTATCAAAAGTTACTTAGAAGAAAGCAGTTCTACTATTACTAGTTATGGAGACCAAATGCTCCTGGAGTCTCTGGCACACCTGCCATGACATCTGATGGCACGCTCTTTTTCTGTAGGTTCCTGTTTGCAGTATGGAGTAGTGATTTTTGGGGGATCAGTACATGCACATAGCACATCTTGGTCATTTTAGTCGCTCCCCTCCTCTCCCATTTTTCAATGGAGTCAATTTTTCTTTTGAGTTCTTTATATAGTCTAGAAAGTAGTCTCCTATCAGAAGAGTAGCTAGCGAAATTGTTCTGCCATTTCTTTACCCTGTTCTTTCTGTCACTATGTTGAAGCTTTTTAATTTGATGGAATCCAATTTGTTGATTCTTGATACTGTTTTCTGTGTACCTGGGGTTCTGTTCGGAATGTCTCTGCCTGTTTCTGTGGCCATAAGAGTGTTTCCTGTGTTATCATCTGCAGTTTCAGAGTTTCTGTCTCTAGGTCTCCATAATTTTGATTTGATTTTTGTGCAAGGTGAGAGAGGAGTCTAGTTCTATGGATAGACACCCAGTTTTCCTAGCACTGTTTGTTAAAGAGGCTGTCTTTTCTCCAGGGTATGTTTTTGGCCTTTGTCAACAGTCAGATCTGGCTGTGGGTGCCTGGGTTGTTTCTGTGTCTTTTGCTTGCACTCCACTCTGTATCTGCTTTAGTGGCAGAACATGTTGTATTTGTCACTATGGCTCTGTAATGTAGCTTGATATCTGGTACTATGATGCCTCCAGCTTTGCTCTTTGGCTTATGACTGCTTTGGTTATTCTGGGTCTCATCTGATTCCAAATGAATTTAGGATTGCTTCCTTGGGCTCTGTAAACAATGGTGTTGATACCTTAATAAGTATTGCATTAAATATATCATCACTTTTGGCATTATTGTCATTTTTATGGTATTAGTTCTTATGATCCAAAAATGAGAGATATCTTTCCATTTTCTATTCTCTTCAATTTCTCTATTGGGAGTTCTGTACTTTTTTTTATTATAAAAGTGTTTCACTTCCCTCATTAGGCTGATTCCTACATATTTGGTTTTGTTGTAGAGTTAGGGATGGGGTTGTTTTCTTGGTTTCTCTGTGGGATCATCATTATTAGTACAAAAAAATACTATTGATTTTTGTGTGTTGATTTGGTATGCTGCCAATGATACTTTTTAATTTGTGTAAGAAAATGTATGCCATCGTCTGCTGAAAAAGTTAGCCATTAAGTTTTAGGAGAAATTTGATGTTTTTAGGTTGAGGAGTATTTAATAAAATATTGAAATATGGAGTTTTAAATGAAAATTTTTAATTTAGACTTAAACAAAAGAACAATTTCCCAATAATTCTTCTTTTTCTGTCATTTTTATATAGTCTGAGTTTCTGCTGTCTTATATATCTCAATCAACATACACCATTTTCCTTTGTGGTTGAGCACTTTAAATATCATATAAAATTAGTACTACTCAGTTCTTTGGACATTTTGGTTTATTAGACACATTGTTAAGGATTTAACTTGGCATTATTTTGTTAAAAACAAGCTGAACTTCTTTGGACATAAATATTTGTATTTTTATATGGAAAAATTTACCCATACATGCATTACTAAGTAAAGAATAAGGGCATGTACATATCAGTTTTCTTTGGAATAATTACAACATTTAATATTGCCACTGCTCATACATGTGATTTCTTTCTTACTATTGCCAGTACAAA